CTGGAAGTTCTGGCCAGTCTTCCAAGAAAGAGGTGGGGGCAGAGCTTTCCCAGGACGGCTCCTCTTGCTGCTGCCACAGGAATAGCCCAGGTAGGCGGCTTTCACAAACAGAAATTCATTCTCTCTCCGTTCCAGCATGGTTGCTGGAGGGAGAGGCCTTCATCCTGTTGAGCTCCTGCTCTTGGGAGATTTCCATATTGTAGCATCCCTCATTCTCTCTCTAGCAGGTTCTCAGCACAGGGACCTGGAGTTCCACAGATGTACGCCACTCCAGCACGTCCTTCCTTGGTGGTACTGAAACCCCTCTGATCTCGGCTCACTGGTTTAGTCCCAATCCTGAGGGTTGCTCTTGCCCCCATTAACGTGTTGTTGGTAGGGACCTTGGATAGGTTCCTGCCCTCAGCAACTGTGTGCACAACAGAACCATGTGCTGCCTGGCCTTGAACCATCTTCACAATTGCGCTTAGGGTTGAGGCCATTGTAGCAGCCACTGTGGCAATGGGCATACCATAACATGCCTCTAATCCCGCCTCCTTGACATCATAGGGGTGAGGTGAATTACATCATAGTGACACATGGAGGATAGTCCCAAAGCATGGAGAATCATGGCCCAGCGGACACATGTTTTGGTGAGGACACAGTGCCGTTCTTAACAAGAGCCGGGATGTATGGGAACACCCCAGAGTCTCCCTCTGAGGTTTTTGGCTCTGAGATAAATCTTTAAGATCTTAGTATTTGGCGAAGCAACAACACAAGGACAAAGAGGCAAAGGGTGGGGGCGGGGGTGGGGAGGGCAGCTAGAGGTCCAGCACTGCATGGTCAAGCGGACAGCAGACATTGGGGAGAGAGGCGCCACTCACTGCCTAGAGGCAGGGCATCGTTCTTGCCCTTGCTAGCTGTTGAAGGGTTGGCCCCGTGTACAGCAGAACCCAGTACTGCTCAGCCCTGTCCCACCTGAGGGAGGGGTTCTGGATTGGACCTCCGTGACCCATGCGTGTTCCCTGGCAGCTTTTGAGCTGTAGGTTGCTAAGCCTCTCTTCCTAGTCTGTCTTCATTTGGAAGCTCCGCAGAAACCCACACAGCATCATAACCTGGATGCAGTCCAGACCACACCTACAGCGACAGTTCCTCCTCACAGCGCCCCCATGTATACCAGGGCAGAACTGCCGCCCCTGTAATTTTCAATGACCCCTTCAGTTCCTGGGCAATAAGGGACCCTGTCAGGGAGGTCCAGAGTGCTCAGCTGCTCGCCTCACCTGGGCCTCCAGCATAGGGGGACACTACAGCTTTCACTGACAGATGGCCCTGCTGCCCATGGGGACACTGCCTGGGGAGTTGCCACTGGGTCTCCCACATGCTGGGTGAGAAGGGCACCTGTGGACCCCATCCTGACTAATTCTGATCCCCTTTTACTGCTGACATGGCCCTGAGGCCCACACCCTGCTTTGCCATCAGACTAGCTTGTCACCTGGGTGTCACCTGGGTGTGGGCAGGGTGGTCCGGAGATCACAAGACAGATGGCCCACTGACCATCCACAGGGTGGTCCTCGGGATTATACACCAGTGAGTCTTATACATCTCAGCTCCTCTGCCCCTGACCTGCTGGGCTAGCCTGGGTTTCCAGAGATGCCAGGCTGAGGACACACCTTAGATGCCAGCCACATGGCAGAGGGTGCCCACTCTGCTGGAAGTGGCCAGCGCACCCCTCAGACCTCAAAGGCCTCCTGCAATCAGCGTTCCAGTCAGTCCTGCCTCTCGCTGACCCCCTGAAAGTCGGGTAGAACTGTGCAGCGCCTTCAATGGCGGGTGCTTTTCGAATGGGTCAGCACCAGGCTTTCCTTCTGAGCTTTTTCTGAGCAGATGGGAAGGTCGGGAGACTCCGACCAATCCTGTTATCTTCAAAATTCAGATGGATTTGGGCTCCCAGGACCCTCCAGGTCAGAGTGGACGTGCTCCCGGGATTTCTCAGCCTGGAAGTCTCAGGGAAGCCTCTGCCTGCGGCCCCATCTGTCCAAGACAGCAGCGCTCAGGTGAGTGTGGAGCCTTGAATGCCAAGTGAAGGGGGCGCATGGTCCTCTTGCTGGGGATTTTGCCCAGCGGTGGAGTTAGAAGTCCGCGGGCAAGTTCTGGAGTGAATAAGGGAGCAGAGGCTGACCCAGCCCGGAGGAGGCGTTGTGATAGGACAGACTGATGGAGGGGTGGGGGGCACTGCTGGAGTCAGGAGAGAGCAGCCTGGCTTTGTTCCTATTGGGTG